TCTGTTTCCAAATGACTTCATTTGGGGCGGAAATTATAGAAGAACACAGAAATAATCCGACATTTAAGGTAATCTTATCTATATATATAAAAGAAAGTCTAACTATGGTTTTGACTTTACAGATTCAAGGCCAGATTTACCATCGCATTGAATCATTGCAACCTATAGAAGATGCACAGCATAAATTCTTGCAAATATACTTCATGGGCAATATGGAAAAACAACTTGATAGGCGTCAAAGGATCAACACAGCTACGAAAAGAGCAATTCTCCAAGATCTGCCGCAAATGCTTCATGAACATCATGCATTGGTCAGGCTGTTCAAGACTGCTTTAGAGCGCATGCCAAGTGATGACTATAAAGTTGTGATCAGAGCAGATAAAAGACCAGCTGGAACACATGAGCGCACATTTAATGCTAAAACAATCGATGAAGTGGCAATCCTGATTGTTGGTGAAAACTTGGAAACACGTGATATTGTACTTACACGACGCAATACTGGGCAACTACAAAGAATATATGAAACACACCGTTCATTTGACGCGTTACAATACCCGCTGATTTTTTGGCAAGGAGACGATGAATATCACTTTAATATCAAAATGATTAATCCATTGAATGGAAAGATCAATATTGTTGTTTTCATTTCAACTTGATATACATTTTATTCTGTTTGCTTTTAGTACTCAAAAAAAGTTGTAATTTCTAATTTAGTAGAGAGTAGCTGTAAGAGTCTTTAACCTATTACGGGTTCTAAAAACAATTTTTACTGCATTTGTTTCACGTGAGGAAACTACCAAGAAGGTTAGTTCGATGAATTATTACGCATATCGTTTGATGATTCGTCAAAATTCTGACAGTTATTTGTTGCGATTTCGTCGACTGCTTCAACAATATTGCGTTGAAATGTACGTTTAAATCGAAACGGAGCGCCTGACTTTCATTCGGTTGAATCAAGCTAAATTGCGTTCGGAAGAGTATATCCATTTACGCGATGAAATGAGCACAGAAGGAGATTCAGAAAATGTTGGTCGATTGACTATTTTACCGGCGACATACATAGGTAGCCCGCGTCATTTGCATGAGTATGCTCAAGATGCAATGACATATGTTCGTCATTATGGTCGGCCAGATGTATTCATTACACTTACATGTAATCCAAAATGGATAGAAAATATTCAATTGCTGCTTCCCGGACAAACATCAAGTGATCGACACGACATCACCGCACGTGTTTTCAGGCAAAAATTTCGGTCACTAATGACTTACATTGTTAAGCAATACGTCTTTGGGAATACTCGATGCTGAATGTATTCAATCGAATGGCAAAAACGAGGCTTACCGCATGCTCACATTCTGATTTGGTAAGTCGAAAGAATTCGGCCAGATCAAATAGATGACATCATATGTGCGGAGACTCCTGCTCCTGAAACCGATCCAGACCTACATGATATTGTGGTCACAAATATGATTCATGGACCGTGTGGCACTATCAACCGACAATCACCGTGCATGGTCGACGGCAAGTGTTCCAAACGGTATCCACGATAATTTACGGCAGAGACCATTACAGGCAACGATGGTTATCCATTGTATCGGCGTCGATCGCCCGATGATAATGGTAGAACTGTCACAACTAAAGTGAAAGGAAACGATTTCGTAGTTGACAACAGTTGAATTGTTCCATATTCGCCACTTCTTTCCAAAACATTCAAAGCACATTGTAATGTTGAATATTGCAATTCGGTCAAGTCAATTAAATACATTTGCAAATATGTCACGAAAGGGAGCGACATGGCGGTTTTTGGTATCCAAACATCCAATACCAACGATGAAATCACGCGCTATCAAGTTGGTAGATATGTGAACTGCAATGAAGCAATTTGGCGTATATTTTCATTCCCTATTCACGAACGTCATTCCACTGTTTTACATTTGGGGGTGTATCTAGAGAACGGTCAGAGAGTATATTTAACAGCGTCGAATGCTGCTCAATGTGCCGAAACACCTCCAGCGACAACACTGACCAGTTTCTTTGCGATTTGTCAAAGCGATCCATTCGCACGAACTTTGCTTTACTCAGAAATGCCACGTTATTACACTTGGAACGCTACATCGAAGAAATTTCAACGTCGGAAGCAAGGCAATGCAGTTCCTGGTCATCCAGATATTCGTTCTACTGATGCTCTTGGTCGTATTTACACAGTTCATCCGAAGAATGATGAATGTTTTTATTTGCGGTTGTTTCTGGTACATGTTCGAGGGCCAACATCATTTGAATCACTGCGAACTGTTAATGGTATCGTGTGCCCCACATTTCGTGCAGCATGTCAAGAGCTAAATTTGCTTGAAAACGATACTCATTGGGACACGACAATAACTGAAGCATTATTTCTGCATCTCCAAGTCAGATACGCACATTATTTGCTATCATCATTTCAACATGCTTCCCATCGAACCCACTTGAAGATATTTTACATGGAATTCGCGTCAGCTCAAGAAATTACGATTACGAACCAGACTTTGCTCTTGATCGAAGATATGTGTTACCTCATGTGCGGCAGTTTGTTAGTTAGGTTAGGAATGCCAGCGCCAGATCGCGGAATGAAATGACGCATTTAATAGAGAATTGGAACGTAAACATGAATATGATCCACATAATCAGTTCAAACGAATATACCTCTGTTGAATCCTAAGCAGAGGGAAGTCTATGATACACTGATTAATGCAATTGATGATGGAAATGGCGGCTTATTTTTTTTGGATGGGAAGACATTCCTCATGTCATTGATTTTGGCCACTGTACGTGCGAGATCCGAAATTGCGGTAGCAATTTATATGAAATATATATTTTTGATGAAATTAAGTGTACTTAAGGTTGAATTATATAACTTCTTAGTTCAATTATAAGCTTTTTTATTGTGATAAACCTGGACTTTTTGTTTTGTTTGACTATTTCTTTTTGGAGTTATTTTTGCTGCTAATTAAGACTAAACACTTAATATGTAAATNGGTTCTAAAAACAATTTTTACTGCATTTGTTTCAGGTGAGGAAACTACCAAGAAGGTTACTTTGATAAATTATTACGAATATCGTTTGATGATTCTAGAAAATTCTGACAATTATTTGTTGCGATTTCGTCGACTGCTTCAACAATATTGCGTTGACATGTACGTTAAAATCGAAACGGAGCGCCTGACTTTCATTCGGTTGAATCAGGCTAAATTGCGTTCGGAAGAGTATATCCATTTACGCGATGAAATGAGCACAGAAGGAGATTCAGAAAATGTTGGTCGATTGACTATTTTACCGGCGACATACATAGGTGGCCCGCGTCATTTGCATGAGTATGCGCAAGATGCAATGACATATGTTCGTCATTATGGTCGGCCAGATCTATTCATTACACTTACATGTAATCCAAAATGGATAGAAAATATTCAATTGCTGCTTCCCGGACAAACATCAAGTGATCGACACGACATCACCGCACGTGTTTTCAGGCAAAAAATTCGGTCACTAATGAATTAAATTGTTAAGCAACACGTCTTTGGGAATACTCGATGCTGGATGTATTCAATCGATTGGCAAAAACGAGGCTTACCGCATGCTCACATTCTGATTTGGTTAGTCGAAAGAATTCGGCCAGATCAAATAGATGACATCATATGTGCGGAGATTCCTGCTCCTGAAACCGATCCAGACCTACATGATGTGTTAGTCACGAATATGATTCATGGACCGTGTGGCACTATCAACCGACAAACACCGTGCATGGTCGACAGAAAGTGTTCCAAACGGTATCCACGATAATTTACGACAGAGACCATTACAGGCAACGATGGTTATCCATTGTATCGGCGGTGATCGCCCGATGATAATGGTAGAACTGTCACAACTAAAGTGAAAGGAAACGATTTCGTAGTTGACAACAGTTGGATTGTTCCATATTCGCCACTTCTTTCCAAAACATTCAAAGCACATTGTAATGTTGAGTATTGCAATTCGGTCAAGTCAATTTAATACATTTGCAAATATGTCACGAAAGGGAGCGACATGGCGGTTTTTGGTATCCAAACATCCAATACCAACGATGAAATCACGCGCTATCAAGTTGGTACTTTTTTGTTTCTATCTATATAAACATATTATTTTGTATCATTGTTTTACGTTCATCAAAGCCTAAATTAGTTCAGCTAAAAAGTAACACGACATTCATTGACTGTTAGGCGGTGCGAGTTCGCCGGATCAGTTAGTTCCATACAAATGAAGTACTCTCTGGAACTACTGGATTATAATAGATATCCCAACTCCTGAATGATAGCAATAGCGGTGTTTGCTTGTTTATTACTTTAAAAATGTATAATTTATAAGCATCAGACAATTGTACATGAGGTATTTTCCATACAATGCTAGAAAATGTCATCTTCAATTTTGAGATGTTTGCAGCAACAGCATCAGTACTTTTAAAAACACCATCATTATTCATTTCTCGTAATAGAATAAGTTCATGCTTTCCTTTGAGTAATATCTTGTTATAATCTTCTGCAAATCCAAGTAACCATGCTCAACAGTATGCAAAAATTAAAGTTTCCTTTTTCCATTTTTATATCATCATCAATTGACCATCCATAATTTTTTAATACAAGCTGTTGATTTTGATTTATTGGTAAGTCATTTTTCAAATCAGTTGTCACACCCAAATGTCGCGTTCGATCAATTTCATTACCGTTCAATTCATAACGTATTTCGTTAAATAAATATGCCATACAATTATTTAATAAAGGTATATTGCTTACGACTGAATCATCAAGATTAGTGATATATCCTTGAATGTGTAGACAACTTTCGCTTGGTAAAACATACAAATCTTGATTTTGTATTGCAATCCGAATTTCATCATTGTTGTCATACGATCGTAAATAAGATGAATAACTATGATAATCTTTTTTTATTATTGAATTATTGGTTGGTTTCTCTAACACATTAATTATATGAGTCATTATAATCTTTTTTAATTTGTTTTCTTCGTCTTTAATTTGAAACCTAAATCTAATCAAAGTTTTTTATTACACTCTGTTAATGGGATTTGTTGTTGTTGTTGTCGTTGTCGTTGTCGTTGTCGTGTGTCCGATCTGCTCAAAGTTTGCAAAGCGAATGAGGATGGATTAAATGATCATAATAATTTATTGTTGTTGTTGTTGCATATTATACTTTTTTTTTTCTTATATTGGCTTAAAATGTAGTCTGATTGTAATTCTTTCACCACGAAAATTAATTAATTTACCGTTTTGATTAGCGATTATATGCGTTTATATGCAATGACTGCACCATCAAGTGGCCCATGCGACACCAAGCCAAAGCCTGTTACGCGCGGAACCCAGCAGAACGCAGCCCTCCTCCCGCCCAACCGACCGAGGGGCGCTGCCGCATGACGCGCGGGGTGATTAAACGAACCGGTCGCGAGCATGCAGGAAAGATAGATGTTAGGCTAATATTCGAGGAAAATTAAAGCTAAACACAACTAGACTAGAGCTACTATAGCTAAGCAAGCAAAATTACCAAAATCAGAAACAAGGCAAAACTAAAATGAAACTAACTACGGGAGAGGTAGGCTAGTATAAAAAATTTAAGAAGAGGAAGGGAGTTAGTTGAGGATATAATGTGGTAGAGGTAATTATAATCCGAGCATAAAACCCTAAAGGGTTCGTGTGAGGCATAATTCGATCTACATAGTGGAAGGAACAAAGGAATAAAGTTTCTAGTGGGTCTAATGGGAATCGCAAAGTTTATGCGGCACAACAAGTCAGGGCTGTCTACATCCCCCTTGATCAAGTTGTGCATAAAAATTACACCAAGCATTTTTCTACGACTAACTAAGGATGGAAGATTTATTAATAAAAGAAGTCCACTAAGGTAGAATGGCAGTCTCACAGTTGCATCCCAGTTGAGGCCCCGTAAGGCAAATAATAAAAATTTTTTCTGTACTGATTCAATACGGTCCTGATGTATGTTGTACTGAGGGCACCATACACATGAGCCGTATTCTAAAATCGGACGAACAAGCGAGATAAAGAGAGTCTTCGTTTTATAGGGGTCCTCAAATTCCTTTGACCACCTCTTTATAAACCCAAGCACACCCATGGCTTTATTTACCATGGTAGAAATGTGTGCAGAAAACTTTAACTTGGGGTCTAGTTTAACACCTAGATCATCAACCAATGTAATTCTCTCAAGAGAACTACCGCAGATGGTGTAAGGAGCCACGAAGGGGCTGGAGCGATAACAAGTCATTACATTGCACTTCGAGGCATTAAGTTTTAGCATATTTGCACAGCACCATGACTGAAAGCTATTGAGATCAGATTGCAAGCGAGAGTGAAATGAAATGTCCTTATACTGGACACAGAGTTTAACATCATCCGCATACATAAGTACTCGAGAATTGGTTAATACAGAAGGTAGGTCATTAATAAAGAGTGTGAAAAGTAAGGGGCCTAAATGGCTACCCTGTGGTTCTCCAGAAGTAACCATAACAGGTAAAGATAAGGAGTTTTAGAAAAGGACCCTTTGAGACCTAGAACACAGGTAGCTAGAAATCCATCTCAACAGATTGGGCGGAAACCCTAGAAGGTCGAGCTTTTGTGCAAGAAGAGAATTGTTTACAGAATCGAATGCCTTACTGAAGTCAGTGTAAATAACATCCGTCTGCAAGTTAC